AAAAGGGGCGGGGGGGAGGGGGGAGAACAGTTCAGAAGCAGGTAGTGGAAGGAAGCAGACAGCTGCTCTGCGGGGAGAGTACTGCCCAGGAGCTCAGTGCCTGGGAACCGACAACACAGATCATGCAAACCCACAAGGGAGAAGCAGGGGAGAGTGTGTTTATTGGAGTGGCTTACTCTAGGAAGCTGAAGGAGATCAGGGTAGGAAGTGGTCCTGGTGGGGGGGCAGACCCAAGGTGTTGGGTGTAGCTGCCACCATTGGGCCCTGGACTGGGCCCTGGACCGGACCCCCGTGGAGAGGATGGGCCCAAGCTCCCTACTCACTCCAAGAGGGCAATACAACAAGACCTCTCCCCTTTGGGGAGAGGCCTGCTGGAAAAGACAGTGATTATTCAATGACCCCACCTTCAAAGCCTCTGTGCAAAAGGGGAGGACTGGAAACCACTGGGGTGCGGGTGCTGAGGGATAAAACTGTGCTTCAATGGGGAGACCTCCTGCTAACCACTACCTCACCACTAGGCAGCACTGTTGGTGGCTGTGCAACTTCTGCTGGTGCCTATATACCTTTTGTGGATCTGGACCTGAATGTGCCTCAAAGTATGTAAATTATATAAGTATACCTACTTAAAAATCCAGTTCCCCCACCCCCCAGAATTGCATGAGAAACTGTAAATATGGGATACTGCAAAGGCTGGCTGTAATGAGATAATTCTATGTAAAACAAGTTATGAAACTGATATTTGAGAAACAGTCCCACATATCCCTCCTTGAAAGGATTAATACTAGGATGTGTAAACTCTGCAGGACAGGGAAGTGCGTGGCAAAACAAGGATGGATGGAAAGAAAGCAGTTTCCTTAGCAGACTACTTAGAAAAAACAGGAATAGGGTAGAGGTGATGCATTTAATTAGTGTGTAAACTCTGCAGGACAGGGAAGTGCGTGGCAAAACAAGGATGGATGGAAAGAAAGCAGTTTCCTTAGCAGACTACTTAGAAAAAACAGGAATAGGGTAGAGGTGATGCATTTAATTAGCAGAAGAGGATTTTTTGGAAATGTCAAAAGTAGAACATTAATGAAAGGCTAGTAAATGTTTATGCACACAAGGGAAATCTAAGAATGCTTGATTACCGATTTATTTAAAGCAGCCTGAAACTAGCTGAAGTAATAAGAAACAAGGAGTAGTAATGATATGTATGAATAGCTATACATTTAGGATGTGGAACCAGCAACATCAGAGGCTGTCAAGACTAGGCTGTCAAATGAACTCAGACTCACAAGTTAAATGAAATATAGACAGGTTCATATATGTCCATAATAATCTGATTTGAAGCTTTCATTAAAGTAGGATATAGGAATGACCTTATTGGATCAGCAAATTTCCCCAAAATAGATTGAGAAGAAAGAACCAGAAGGAAAGGTACAATCTGTGTTTATCAGTGAGGTGGCCGCAGCATAGCTGGACCTCAGGTTGAGTTGGCTGTTCCATTTACAACCTGGATTTTCAAGGTTTATTATGTAAGACATTTCAAGCTGTAGCAGGCTGAAATCTGGCAGGCAACTTGTAAACTGGCAACAAATTCTTAATGTAGATTAGAACCTGTTGGTGTTTTGAAATGAAGTATGAAAAGTAACTACTGATTATGCACAGCAGATATTTTCCTGAAATATTTTTGTAAAATTAATAATTCACCATTCTCTTGAATGCAATTTATCCTTGACATAATAAACTCATGTAAAGTCTTTGAGGACCATGCAGTCATTATATATGTTACTGAGAAATATTCAAATAACCACTACTGACTAGGTGTCTCCAGTAATCTCTCTCTCTCTCTCTCTCTCTCTCTCTCTATCTCTCGCAACAGAAATGTTTCACAAATACAAACAGCCAAGTCAGAATAAATTAGAGAAAGGGAGGCCAATGTTCTACTTTTGACACACAGAACTTTGGATCAAATCCTACTCAGGAAAAAATCCTAATGAGAGAGTTGATAGGGGGTTCGTTCCTGATTAAACATTGTGGGATTGGGAGCTGGATAATGATAATAAAAGGGGATTGAAGGATTCAGGCTAGAATTTTCAAAGCTGACTGAGAAGATACATACATCAGAAATCGTGCACCTAGGTGTGTTTGTACTGTAAGAAAATGTGTCCTGAAAAATGTCATTGGGTAGTTATGTGCTTAAAGTCTCGGAGCTCTGAGTCAAGAATGAGAACCCAGAGGACTTGTCAGTGTATGGAGAACTGTGGTTTTTTTTTCAGAATAAGAGCCAGACTGTGTAATGCCCCTGCACAGCTGTGGGGCATGGAGACATGAACAAGAAGTCCCACAGCTTTGCACAGCCAGCAAGGGGCACCACAATAGCAGTTGTTGCACGCCCTGTATTCTGGGAAACACAGGAACTGCTCGCTTCTGCTATCCCCTCATCATCATTGTAGCTTGTCACTCCAAAGACGCAGCTAAGACCTGGGGTTGTCACTTAACTCCTCCCCCTCCCTGGTATTCCTTGCCAAGGAACTGTTTGAGATAAGTGCCAGAGTTGACACAAGAACAAATGGATATAAACTGGCCATCAATAAGTTTAGGCTTGGAATTAGAAGAAGGTTTCTAATCATCAGAGGAATGAAGTTCTGGAACAACCTTCCAAGGGGAGTAGTGGGGGCAAAACCAGTACTGTACCGACCCCCTTTCCCCCCAACAAAAAATGTTCAGTGACTAGAGCCCTGTGCGGATACAAATTTATACCCTTGGATGTGGATTTCCGCAGATAGAAATCTGTATCCATTGAACTGCAGGGCTCTCCTGGGAACTGAAGTGGTGAAAGGAGCAGAACATGGGGCTACCACTCCCAGCTTACCACGCCGGCAGCTCCTCTGGGGTCGCTGTCCCGCCCCCAGCCCCACCCCATCTCGTGCGTCTCCTGTCTAGGGTCTGTACAGCCCCGCTGGAGGACAGGGCTGGGGGCCGATACAGCCTCACCAGAGAAACTGCTGGCACGGGGCACTGGCTCCTGGGAGCAACAGCTTCATGTTCTTCTCCTTTCATTGCTTCAGTTCCCAGGAGAGGCCTGCAGTTCAGCGGATACTGTTTTCTACCTGCGGATATCTGCATCTGTGGGTATAAATTTGTATCTGCACAGGGCTCTAAGATTCATTCTTAAAAACAGGTACAGCAAATGGTATGGTACCATTTCCGTACAGCATACCAGCAATAAATGTCTTAATGGTACTGCGTACCTGACTGTACTGGCTTACTTGCACCACTGAGTATGATGAGAATTTTCCCCTGGCTCAGATTGGTAGAGCTGGGTGGGTTTTTCCCTCTTCCTCTGCAGCATGGGGCATAGGTCACTCGCAGGTTTAAACTAGTGTAAATGGTGGATTCTCTGGAACTTGAAGTCTTTAAATCATGATTTGAGGACTTCAGTAACATAGCCAGAGATTATGGATCTATTACAGGAGTGGGTGGGTGAGGTTTTTGGCCTGCTATGTGCAGGAGGTCAGACTAGATGATCATAATGGTTCCTTCTGGCCTTAAAGTCTATGAGTCTATGCTTTCTGAGCATGACTGTCTGACCTGAACAAACTAAAGAGAGTTTGCTGTAGGGGCAGAGAGAAAGAGCAAACCTCAAAGCTGAGCAGGAGCAGGGGAGGGTCTTGGGAGAGACCCTGAAAGGACTGGTCAACGCCCAAAGGGCTCTGAATGATGAGGATGCTGGAGGAAGGGTTGGTGTGTGCAGGTTTTGGTTTTGCATGGATTTGCAAGTCTCTATGCGTTCTCTATGAATAAAGTGTGTGTGTTTAAGAAATTATTTTGCAAAGCCTCTGGGTTCCTTGCTGTAACTGTCACATGTTCCTGAAGGGATAAACTGTAAACCAGAGAACTGACAAGGATGGGGCAGTGGGAAATGGTGTGCTTAAGCTACTCGGAAGACTTTGGGGGTGGGGAGAAGTTCAATACTGGTCTTGGGGCAGTTCGACTTCTGAGAAGGGGGTGCCAGACAGGAAGTCTTCACCCTGGGACTGAGCCTGAGAGGCCAGAGACAGCACCTGGGGATAGTGCTCAGACTCGGTAGGCATAGAAGCATGCAGCATCCTGTGTTTGCATCCAAATGCAGCAGCCTGGTGAGTGTCCAGCAGGAGGAGCTCCTCCCCAGGCCTAGGAGAGCTTGTTAGCCACAGCGGATTACTGAGAAGCACTTTGGAAAGATTGCTTGATTAAGGCTAGTCCTCCTCCAACTGAAATTCATGAGTTTTCTTATTGACTTCATTGGGAGTGGGACTGGGGCTTTAATAAGCACATGTGCAGCTAAGCCATGTAAATATTGACCTAGAGCTGTAGGTGGAAAGAAAGAATGTGGATGGGAAGGTGCTAGAGGATTGATAAAGATTAATTATGATAATTATATGACCAAATTACATGTTCTTCGAATGGGTCAAAAGGCAATGCTGTCTGTGCTTGTTGACAACATTACATTAAACTGAGTACATAGTATACTGTGAATTATACTTCGACCCCATAGTAACCTGAAGGGAAATGAGATTAACTGAGAGATGTAAACCTTTAGTTTTTGTTTCATAAACTCATCTCAGTTTAATAAAGATTTTAGACAGTAATACATAAATAAAAAATAGAGAAATTCCCATTTCCCTCCCTTGCTCAAAGCACTGAAAATGATGAGACGGGGGATGGTTTTCCTTCCAGCTGGGGAACAACAGCCATAATAGCCAGGCAATTAATTGGAAATGCAAAGAAGGTCCATGGAGCTGTTGCTTACAGATAAGGAAAATTAGGAGCAGGGTGTTTCAACAACCATTCAGATATGAAAAAGAACCATGTTCTGTGCTCCATGAGCATTTGCTTGTATCTCAGCACACTGATGATTTATTGCAAAGAGCTGTCAGTGAACCATGAAACCCATTCCTCTCATACACAATGGTAATGAAGATTTTAATCTTCCCTTGGTCATCTGTTCTCTTTTGTTTTTATTTTTGCATCTGCAGGAGCGGGATTCAACTAAAGCTCATCTTGACTTAAGTACATGGTAAGTTATTTTTGGTTAATGTAACTGTTTTTAATTTAATTTAGATTTAATTTAATTTGTTATGTCTGTATGTGATGTTATGGGACATGGATTATTCTGAAGCAGCAATATATGAGAATTACTTGAGGAAGAGCAGAAGGTAACAGGTTGGCATTTGACTGTACTGTATGTATTGCGTGTTGACAGGTAAATCTTCACTAGCATCACGATCACATGGGATTCTTGCTCTGACTGTTCATTTGAAATAACTCTAGTTGTCACTAATTACTGATTAGTTGGCACTTTCATTTTGGATAATGACAAAGCATTGTGCTTTGAAGATAACGGAGTGGGTTAAACTAATTGTTGTGCCCAGAACCTGAGGAGTTTGTATATACTTCAGAGGTGGCGCATTTGGGTTGTGTCAAGTACCCGGTAGGCTCACCATTGCACATTGGCCAACTTAGAGTGGCACTGATGGTGCTCTTTGAAAAAGGCAAGCGTCTCTTTCTGCTTGTTGGAAGTAGGGCTTCCTATAGAACAAAATGGTTTAGAAGAATAGCCATATTGCCAAGTTACAATCAGCGGAAATACTCAAGATGGATCTGCTGGTGCAAGAACTTTTTCTGAGGGCCCTAAGCTTTGGAGCCTACTACCCTCTTCAGTCCATAGTAGCCTGAGTTTAAACTTCAGGGCACGTTAGAAGATTTATGTATTTGCTCAAGCTTTTGAGGAGAGTGTGATTTGATGGGAGCCAATTTTTGTGGGAGAGGGGAGTCTTGTTGGGGCTCTGTGTTGTTGGGGTTGTGGTGTATTAGCTGCAGGGTTTATTTGCATTTTATCATCTGTTCTTACATTTTATGTCAAAAGTGCCTACAATGTGGGGGATGTGTGTGCTTTTTTTTGTATATTAGAAAATGAAAGAAATAATAAAGAAGGGGGTTGAGAAAACCTGAGAATTTGGTTCTGTGTCAGATGTGGTCGGGGGATGCTTGTGTTCTGAAGCCTAGGGCTCTTCACCACTTAAAAAAAAAGTCAAGTTTTCAATGGTCATAGTGCAAGAAATTTTAGTTATTGTTATGGACAAATTCTAAGAAGTTATGGACATTGTTAGTATCCTCAGTAAGGAGATGGATATAGCAAAAGAGAGTGAGTCATAGTTGACAGAGTTGCTGCAGAACTTTAGCCTATGAAGTACTTTCACAGGATTTTTTTTCACCATAATAACTGCCAGTATTATCACTGTATGGAAGCCTCACACAAACACCAAAGCAGATATATTGCAGGTTTAAATGAGAGAAAGCTTGTGCTCTCTTCACAAGCTCACAAAAGTAAACCTTTCTTTAAAAATGTCTTATTTGTCTTGACAAGAAACAGAGCTCTCGGGCATGAGTTTAAGCAGCTCTTACATTAGGGCCCCTGACTGCCCCTTGCTGTCCCATCCAACCCCCCTCTCTTTCCTGACTGTTCCCCTGGACCCCCTGCCCCATCCAACCTCCCCTCTCCTTCCTGACTTCTCCCCCGGGACCCCTGCCCTATCCACGCCCCCTACTCCTTGTCCCCTGACTGCTCCCCGCCGCCCCATCCAACCCCTCCTCTCCTTCCTGACTGCCCCCCCAGGACCCCTGCTCCCATTCAACCCCCCTGTTCCCCGCCCTCTGACTGCACCGACCCCTATCCACAGCCCTGGCCCCTGACCACCCCCCGAACTCCCTTGCCCTCTATCCAACCCCCCCGCTCCCTGCCCCCTTACCGCACTGCCTGGAGCACCGGTGGCTGGCGGCCAGGACAGGCAGCCGTACCACGCAGCACAGAGCACCGGGTCAGGCCGCAGCTCTGCAGCCCCGCTGCCCAGAGCATTGCCCTGGTGGCACAGTGAGCTGCGGCTGCGGGGGAGGGGGAACAGCAGGGGAGGGGCCAGGAGGTCCCGTGGGTTTGCCCGCTTCTGCTCTAGGGTACATTTTCACTCACACAGAGTGGGACCCTCTTCCCCTTCCATCTCCCAAATAGTGTAGTCCAGATCATGAGCTGCACTTGAAGCCGCCTTTACACACTCCCTGTTCCACCCTCCCCGTCCAGGGGTCATCCTGATATCAGACCAGTCCCTGGCATAAGTTAGAGTATGCTGCTCTAATTTACACTTACTGTCCCACATCCCTTTCTCCTGGCCACATCCCTTGTGATAATAGCTAGAATCCCACCAGTCATAGACTTTACCATATTGGGTGCTTGGCTCAGTCAAAGCAGAGGCCAAGATCTGGCGTTCTATTTCTATCACATTTTCTGCATTTGTCACTAGAGCAGAGAGCTGATTAAGCACAAAATTGTTATGCCCATTATAAGCAGGGAGCAATATGAAAGTACCAGACAGAGGAAGGAAACAAAACCCTCATAGCTGTTTGCTGACCATTGTTGCTAAGTAACCCCTTTGGTATCCACATGTTTAGCATGTTTGTGTCATCGTTTCATTGTCATGTCAGGAGGAAAGATTCTGCTGTCACAACAGACAAAAATTAATTTTAGAAAAAGATTAAAATGTAGTTTGTTGGATTTTCTAAATCTTTCTTATGGGAAGTTTGAATTCTTTCTTCTGACCATTTTCTTCATCAGTGGAGCTACAGTAAGCCAGCTAGGTGCCAGTAGAAGTCATTGATATAGAAAATGTAGGGCTGTTAATTCCCTCCCTTTCCTCCACTACCGCACCACACAATGTGCAGATGTGGCAGTAAATGCCTTATGTGATATATGCCATCATGTGCCAGCAATGCCCCTCTGCCATGTACATTGGCCAAACTGGACAATCTCTACACACAAAAATAAATGGACACAAATCAGATATCAAGAATTATAACATTCAAAAACTAGTTGGAGAACACTTCAAACTCCCTGGTCACTCAAATTCAGACCTAAAAGTCGCAATTCTCCAACAAAGAAAACTTCAAAAACAGACTCCAACGAGAAACTGCAGAATTGGAATTAATTTGCAAACTGGACACCATTAAATTAGGCTTGAATAAGGACTGAGAGTGGATGGGTCATTGCACAAAGTAAAAACTATTTCCCCATGCTAATTTTCCGCCTATTGTTACTCACACCTTCTTGTCAACTGTTTGAAATGGGCCATCCTGATTATCACTACAAACATTTTTTTCTCCTGCTGATAATAGCCCATCTTACTTAATTAGTCTCATTACAGTTGGTATGGCAACACCCATTTTTTTCATGTTCTGTGTGTATATATCTTCCTACCGTATTTTCTACTGCATGCATCCGATGAAGTGGGTTTTAGCCCATGAAAGCTTATGCTCAAATAAATTTGTTAGTCTCTAAGGTGCCACAAGAACGCCTCATTCATTTATCTAACCAAGTAAGGGTTTTTCTGCATTTTTATTCTCCCTCTAAGCCACAGCAAAACTGCTCATTTTCACAGTAAAAGTATTTTTGCACAGAAGCTGCTGCTAGTGAGAAAGTAAATCTACTTTTACCTTGGAAATGATTATCTGTATATTACCTCAGTGTAATACCTCAGATATTGTTATTACAATTAGCATTACTTTATTTTTCAGAGCAGATATAAGAAAAAAAAAACCTAGTATTCCTGCCATGTTAGGGTTGTGAAGTCACCTACTGAAATTCCAGATTAAGGTTTCTGAAGCAACATGAATTTAGCCACGGATGTATGTTATAGTACTGGTGCCAATGTCCTCCAAGCACTGTGCCTGCTCTTGTGCCCTGCCTGGGTATACAAGAGATTTATAGTTACCTGCTGGAAGGAGCAGCTACTTTCTAACCCATGCTCTTCCACCTGGTGACCAATAGGGAGATGGGACTACCTGAAGGGACTGTGCACTACCTCAACAGGAGCTCCTGGAGGCATTCTTCCCAAACACAGCAGCTGCAGGGATGCAGGGAGAACATGGTCACCACACTAATCCTTTGACAAGGTGCAGCCTGCACTTCCCTCATGCAGGCCAGCTTTGCTGCCTGTGCAGAAGGTGGGCTTATGAGAGCATCTTTTCTGAGGAGTCTAGCAGAAGCAGCGGTGCTAGTTAGGTAGGAGGAGATTTTCAAAGGGATAAATGGAAGTGAGTTGCCCAATGGGAGCTGAGTGCCAAACTGCCCTTTGTGCCTCTGAAAATCTCTCTGTCGTCCTGACACTTCCTGAAATGCAGTTCTGCCAGGCATAGTAAATATGCTGCCCATGACATTGACCCCCCAACACACAGATTGCAACATGTTTTACACTTTCTCACAGAACCCAGGTACTGGAATAGATATATTCCAGATCATTCTGTGAATAACCCCTTCCCGCACTCCAATATACTACACAGAATGTGCATCTCTTCTCTATGTACATATTTATAATAAGTAAAAGTAGTACTGAAACTGAGTAGCTGGGACTGCCAGTCAACTTCCTGTTGCCTAGACTAGTAAATGCATCTTTAACATAAGATTGTTCAAAAGATGTACTGGTGTAATTTATTCTCAGAGTGTTCTGGACAAACATTTGTTTCTAGAAGCTATGTTGATTAGATTCTTTCTAACTACAGTACCTGTATAGATAATTTCCTTTTTCCATGGTACTTGCATTTTTTCAGTCCCAATACATTTCAAAAATATTCACAGCCTCTTGCTACTTCTACTGTGTATGCAGCTGAGCCTGAAGCCCATGGTTCTAACCATTAAACCAAATTGCACCAGTTTCTATTATCACCAAGACATCTTGCACAGAATGTCATGTAAACAGCTGACAATAAAATGAACAGGTACAAATGATGAAAGGAGGAAAATAAATGGCTTTCCTTTAACTGCAGACTCTACTGTATGTGCATCAAGACAAGGCCATGAGCATATTTTGACTGTAAATTAAGGTTCTTTCCATCCCATGTAGCTTGATTGGATTTTCTGGAGTCTACATTGTGTTTTGAATTACAGATTTAGAATATTTCATATATCTCAGCTCTGCATGCTGCATTAGAACAACAGAAGATCAGATGACAAAACTTAGTTTCCTTTCATGA